CACGAAATTCAACGCGCGACGAACTTTTGGGTAAAAACCATTCAAGCGGAGCTATTCGCGCGCGAGCTGACCGCGCTTCGAAGGGGAGACGCGCTGTCATCGAAAAGCGTACTGTTGCCTCTCGCGCCGTATTTGGACGAAGATCAAATAATTCGTGTTGGTGGGCGGTTGTCGCGGGCGCCCATCCCGGCTTACGTCAAACATCCGATCGTTCTCGCGCCCCATCCTCTCGTCCAGCTCCTCATACAGGATATTCACAAGCGATATCTCCATGCCGGCATCCAGCTTACCCTGGCTACTCTGCGGCGAAGGTACTGGGTGATCCGAGCTCGCGGTGCGGTCAGATCGGTCATCCATCGGTGTGTCGCGTGCACTCGCGAGCGAGCTGCTGTCCCGACACAACTTATGGGGAACCTCCCGCAATGCAGAGTCTCTCCTCCCGCGCGCGCATTCATTCATTGCGGAGTGGATTATGCTGGCCCGATACTTGTTCGAGCGATGTCTGGACGCGGAGTGGCCTCCCGAAAGGCCTACATCGCCATATTCGTGTGTATGGCAACGCGCGCGGTACACTTGGAGTTGGTCGAGGGGTACGCCACTCCGGCATTTTTGGGGGCCTATTCGCGATTCGTGGCTCGACGGGGTCTTCCGACGGCGGTGTACTCCGATAACGGGACCACCTTCGTCGGAGCGGACCGCGACCTCACACTCGCGTTTAGAGCGGCTCTTCGCGATTCCGTTTTGTTGAACAGGACGGCTTCGGACAATGTCGAGTGGCATTTTCTGCCTCCCTCCGCCCCTCATTTTGGCGGCCTATGGGAGGCCGGTGTACGAAGCGTGAAGCACCACATTCGCCGGGTGGTTGGAGCGCACACGCTGACGTTCGAAGAATTCTCCACGCTTCTTTGTAACGTCGAGGCTTGCCTCAACTCTAGGCCCATAGCGCCGCTCTCCGACTCGATAGATACATACGATCCGCTGACCCCCAGGCATTTTCTCATTGGTGCCGCTCTTAACTCGAGTCCGGAGCCTTCCCTGTTACAGGTAAAAGAAAATCGCCTATCTCGATGGCAGTTAGTTCGGCAGCTCACCGAACGTCTTTGGAAGTTGTGGCAGAGCGATTATATTAACATGCTGCAACAGCGGGGAAAATGGCGACATATTAAGAAGCCAAATATTCGAGTGGGACAATTGGTTTTGCTTCGCAATCCTCTGCTTCCACCGTGCAAGTGGGAGCTCGGCCGCGTTGTTTTGTGTCACCCGGGTCTCGACGAATTGATTCGCGTTGTTACGGTAAAAACGGCGTCGTCCGAGTACAAGCGTCCGATCGGTAGACTGTGCCTTCTGCCGATCGATATTGAAAAGTCGGAAAGCGCCGACAAGTGATGTCAAGTCTCGCCTCGACAGGCCGAACGCCTCGCTCAATCCTACTCGAAATCTTTTCTGCCTCATGAGTCACTCGCATCTTTTTTTTTTTTTTTTTTCGAAACTATTGTTTCGAGGTGGGCGGTATGTTGAGAAACAGACAAATAATTTGAAGGGTAATTTCGTGTCAAATTAATTGTAAATCAAAAATAAACGTTAGAGGTAAGAACCCGCTTTTTCAAAACAAATTTGTTATGTCCCGCCAGCGAGGCAAGGACAGCAGTTAACAATATTGATCGATCGGAGCAATCAGCCGTTGACCGCGTGATTTCGGTTTCTTCACTCGATCGGAAATCAATACCGGCCAATCGTGATTCTTCGAAAAAACGAGCGTCCCCTCCAAGAGGTCGTGTCGAAATCTCGCGCCTCGGCGAAGAACGCCCCGACTCTGAGCGTTCACTCCTCGAAAAATTGTGAAGTCAACGACATCGATAATCAGAACGACTACAGATCGGTTGAGTAATTCGAACATAACTTCTAAGACTGAACGTGTAATCGACAAATAAACTAATTTGTGATTCTGCATTCGGAGTGTTATCTCTCGAGAGTTCTCCTGTCAGCTGCTCTTTCCTTCGCGCTCTCTCTGAGCGATACCGGCGTCCGCGGTCAACGAGAAAAAGAAAAAAGGGGAACCCACTTCGCGTACGCAACATTTATGAAAACTTAGATATCGCTGGAATGTTTATCTTATCTTGTAATAGATATCGCTGGAATGTTTATCTTTTGTTTATAAACATATCAGGTAACATGAGCCCCTTATCAGGTAATGTGAGCTCCTTATCAGGTAACCTGAACTGATAAGATAAGCTTATCTGTTGATAAGACCCCCTCCTCCGCGTGACGTCACCCCCCTCACCCCCGAAAATCCCCCGCCCCTCACCCCCCTCATTGCCCCTGGTCTAGAACTCTCATAGTATTCTTACTTAACATTACAAAAGTAATTTCTAAAATATAATTTTTAATAAGTGGCAAAAGTAATATAAGTAGATAAACATATAAATTAAAAGAATGAATAAGCTCAATGGAAAAATAATACAAAATTAACTAATATATAATAATGTTCAAGCTCGTATGTAAACAAACACAATGATAACTTACTAAATATTACGAGGCCATGTGACGAGCAATAAAAAATTATTTTAAACTGGGAACAATTTTAATTTAAAAAAACTAATTACAATATAAACTCTAATATTCTTAATTACAAACGTTTCGAACTATACTTAGTCTTCCTCAGTGTGCAATAAAAAAATAATAAACATAATAAAAAATATTCTAATAAAGAGTCGCAATACAATAGTCAAAATAAATTAGATGATTATGTCAAACTTTATAACGGACCGCTTTCCCAGTGCGGCCGGATCGCTCAATCGGGATCACAAGGTTCGGGAAAGGGTTAGATCCAAGAAACGTGCGACACGGTGTATAAATTCAACGAGTGTTTATTCTGCATGCTATATACAAGTGTGTGTGTGTGTGTGTGCGTTATATATGTATATTGCTGTGTGCGCGAAAGCGTTGATGAGTTTATAAAGATGTGACGTGTGGATGACGATGAGTGCGTGTGAACATGAGTAAAGGTGCAAGTGAACGCGGACGTCGATAACAATTTATGTCGCGTGTATGATAACGTGCGTGTTTGGACGGACGTGTGTATTTGTATGCGAGTGTAAATGCATGTGGGGTGGGTCGGCGCGGGTTCTGTTGGCAATACGGGTGTCGGTGTCGGGATCGTGTATCGGTGCTGTAACAAATGCGCCGATTGTTTCCGTGACATGAGATGCAATGCGGAATAATAGCTTTATTTTCGCGTCGACGATCGTAATTCGGGACTTTAAAGGAACGGCCCTTTAAAGTCTCACGGTTGTGTTTATTTTCATTTGCCTGACGCGGCGCGGTGCGGTCCCGTGTTGTTATGGTCGTGTGCGAGCGTATTCTTTGTCTCTCTCTCTCGCGCGCACGCGGACGTGTGAGAGAATTGTCGCTCTCTTTCTTTTCGATGAAATTGGTGGTAGATTCTGAGTATTAGTAGATTCGCGGGGATTCCGTTATTATTTTTCGGAGGAGATAATCGGCTGCGGGAGCTTCCGACAGAGACGGAGAACACCCAACCTCTGGTTTATCTTGGCCGATCGTATAGGTGGATAATGCGAGGAGCGGGTTCGGTGAGGAAACGCTCGGAGCAGCTTAGGAAGTGGGAACGCATCCACACGAGACAAGGTACCCCCGATCTCTTCTTTCTTAGCTTTTTGTGGCGTTTTCCGGAGCGGTATGCGTCTTAAGACGGTGCGGAATGTCTCGTTTCGATTTTCCCCGGGCTTTTTATACGGCATGTTCGGGATTTTCCGTATGCCGTCGTGATTCTTTGGTTACTTTTTAATTCGTACGGATCGTGGAGGAGAGTATTACTCGAACGTACTTCCCCGCATGGCTTATCTTGTCTCTCGATGTTTCATATATTCGGGCTTTACGACGCGGGCTGTATTGTTATAAATTAAAAGGCGAAATACGTTAACAATAAATTGAAATAATTACAAATAGTTCAACGCGAAAAGTCCCAATCAGAAGCAAAAATCGAAATAAAATAATTTATCCGGCTAATCAATAAATTTTTTAAAATTATTAAAACCTCGGAGTGGCACTTAAACATTCGTCCAAACCAATCACTCATCGTTAGTCGGCGAAAGGCTATCAGTTTGGCAATGACTGTGTCCATCTCCTCCAAGTTATTTAATATTTGTTATTATAAAAATTGTTCCTAATAAATTGAGATGACAATGCCTCTAATCGTTGAACTTAGTACTTGACTGACAAAATTTTTGTATTTACAACATGAGTATCAAGATGTTCTATCTTTTTGTGACTAGTGCCAATCTATGATTTTTTAATTTGGAAATTATGAAATCGCGAGACCTAGGACATATTAGAAGAGAATTGACTTAATACGGATCACATCGTACTGGCTTAACCAACGTTTCACTATGTTTTAACTAATTATGACTGAAAAGACGCAAGTAAGCGTCGAAACGTCTCATTGTAAAGTTGATTTATATAATTTGATGTAAAGTTTGAAAATATATATGTTTGACATCAATTCACATAGCTCGTAATAGGCTCATGTTGTTTTATTATCTCTAATTTATAAGTAGATAATATATATACATATATTTCTAATGGTTTCAGCGAATATGATGAATTTTTTATTTAATGTTTGTATATATGGTAATTGTATATATTGTATATATGATGGTTGTATATATGTGTAAATATTATTTATATAAAGATTGTTTAAAAATTAATCGATAAAAGGCTTATATAATGTGCGCGAAGGAAAGCAGGATAGGCCGGAAGCGAGACGACAGAAAAGCACTGCACTCGACACACACGTATCGTTAAACTAAATATATCTAGCGAAAGGTCTCGGGTTCGATTCCCGATTCAGCGACTTTCGGATTTATATTTTTTTCTTGCATTTATTTATTTCCGTAGGCAGGGCCGGCGGAACAGGTACAGCCCGAGTGGTGACCAGGATTGTTGACCGGGAGGGGGGTGTCCTACCAAGAATTTTAAATTTTTCAATAGCAGTTTAAAAATACAGTTATACACAGTTTATTCACAGTTATGTCGCTGTATATATGTAATATTGCTACATGATTAAGTCGATCTTGCAACATTGTTGTTCTGAGATAATTTTTGAATCGCCGAAGAGTAGAAAAACTTCTTTCATTGGTGCATGACAAACCCGGGATTGTCATTAACAATTTTATAAATTTGACATAGTCGGGAATGAGCCCCATACTCCATTCGTTTTTACGTAAAAAATTAACAATTTCTCTCAAATTTGATATTTTAACATTACTTCTGCTCGTCAGATTCAAAAACATATCCCTATCGCTAACAAGTCGATCTTCTTCAAAGTCGTCTCCATAAAAATTGATAATTTGTGCAACATTTGTAGATTCGCCAAAGGCTTTTAAAGATTTTAGAAATCGAGCTGCTTCCGTATCAAAACGACTGTTTAAAGACGTCAAAACTCGGTCATAAATTTCAAAATATATTTTGCGGTACATTTCTTTCGGAGTTTTGAAAACAAGATTTTCGCTATTGCTCGAATCTAATCGCTTTGGAATTTTTCGTTGACGCGGTAGCTGTGGTTCATCAATATCTAATTCTTTTACTCCCTTATTGCTTTTCTGCCAAATTATCTCGAATTTGGAATCGCGAAATACATTCATACAATAAATTACTCCCTCGATTTTTCGATACGAGTCATTCACGCTTAGTTCCGAGTTCTGAAGGTCTTTATTCAAAATTTCTATCCGATCAAGTAATTCAATTATCATTGTTAAAAAAAAGAAAAACTCAAAGGTTCTCATATGTTCAAAATATTCTGATGCTTTGGCCGAGATGATGCTGTCGACTTCACAATCTGTAATCCGCTCCACGAAAAATTTCATCAGTGGTTCGTAGTTGGCTCGGACTGTTTTCAGGGAACTTATTTGCATGACCCACCTATAACATACATTCGCAAATACATGAGATGAAACTGCTGAAAGTTCTGTTTGTATAAAACTGAAATTATGCGATCAAATTTATACCTGGTTGGGCAGTAGGCAGCGAGGGTAAAATTTTTATTCGTGGAACTTTCTGATTCTGACTGGAGTTGTTGAAATTGTGAGATACGTTTCGGTGAATCTTTTACAAAATTAATCATATCTTTTACTACTCCTATGAATTTTCTTGTAGCTGGAACTCCTTCCATGGCATCCTGGACCACAAGATTCAGGTTATGGGCGTTGCAATGTACATATAAAGCACGAGGTTCAATTTCCCTGAGTCGACGTTGCAAACCAGTTATTTTCCTTGAAACATTCGCTGCTCCGTCGTAACATTGGCCTCTAAGTTTTGTAAGCGGCAAATTGAAACGAAGAAGAACATCTTGGACGATTTGGAATAGAGTTTCGGCCTTCGTGGAAGACGTTGAGCAAAATCCGAGGAAAAATTCTGACGACACTAAATTTTGTGAAACAACTCTTAAACATATCGATATCTGTTCCATCTTCGACAAGTCAGAAGTTTCGTCCAAAAGTAACGCACAGAATTCTGCTTGTCTTATTTCCACAAGATTTTCTGCCATAACTTTTGCAGCTATGAGTTCTAATATTTCGTTTTGTACATCATGATGTAACCATTTGTGGCCATTCCGTTTCAGCCACGATTCCAGTTCCGATACATCTTCTGCGCGTGCTTTTAATATTTGTATAAAGTTTGAATTTTCGTCGTTATTGATGCCACGCAAGGGCAGCCCTTGTTTTGCTAATACTTTTAAAGTACTGAAAATTTTTCGCAGTGCTGTCCGGTGATTCATCATTTACTTTTCTGTTGCACTTGATAAATGTTGAATAATGTTCACTGTCTTCAGTTTTGCTAGAGCTTCAGTACTATCTACGTGTAATGAACTTGTTGAATGTTTCTTGATTCTGGACGTAGCGTTATTCCAGTTGTTAAATCCTGTGTCAACCCAGGCTTCCTTTGACTTCAAAGCGCGTAAATCGTAAGACAAAATTAATTTTTTCTCCAACGCTTTAGTACAAATAGTGCAAATTGCTTTCTTATTTGCGTTCAATTCAAGCCAAGGATTTGCCTTCTGCCAACGTGGGAATGACACTGATACTGTATGATAATATTTTTGTATGCATTATTTCTTATTTTATACAATATGCAATTACTTACGATTTCGAGTCACATTTGCACAATTTTCTTGATGTTCATCAACTCTTCTACAATTAACATTTGGATCTTCGTCACTCTTTGAGGTTAAGATTGATTCCACGTCGCTTCCACATCGATTGCGTTCGCTTAGCTGAATAGGGCGAAGAGCACTGGCGGTGTTTCTTTCGCTGTCTCTCTTGCACTTAATGACGAACTTATCCATTCTCTCGACATCTCAAATACCGGTTTTGTTCGCTATTGTATTATTTGTATCGCTCGTCACGTGATTACGTAATGCTACGTGACTTGCAAGCAAGGGCATAGTAGTCATATGCGAGTCGAGAGCAACACGCAACACATGCGTAGTGGAGATGCGCAGTAAGCGAAAAGTGTAGCTTGTTATGCGCATCTTCTCCACATGCTACTATATGTAGAGACTCTATAAAAAGAGACTTGCCAACTCGTCGTATTCTGATTGGCTGGAATATGGGCGAACACATAAGTCACGTGATGAGTTGACTAGTCTCTTTTTATAGGGTCTCTAATTAATTCGCCGACTGTTGGATTCACCACACGGGAATTTTCCGAGTGGTATCTACCCTCACCTCCACCACGTTTTCCGCCGGCCCTGTCCGTAGGAGGGTTAAAGGATTATTAAAATTAAATCTCAAAAATGAGATTATTTCATATTTTAAAATCTTAACCGTGACCAAGTAAAATTTGGTGCCCTGTGCACAGATATTTAATTCTAACGAGAAAATTTAGTATCGTTAGGATAACGCACTGTCTTCCGCGATTGGCTTTTATTGCCTGTCTTACACTTTAAATTTATAAATATATTTACACTACTAACAACAAAAAATACAATTATTTCAAACCGCACAGAATTTACCAAAGGATAGCCGAGTCGAAAGTATCAGAAAGTACAATAACCGAGAGAAAAGCCGTGTCAAAAATAAAGTACTGAATGTTCCGCAAGCAACGGTAATTAAACGCAAAAAAAGACAAGCGATCTTTTTGGAAAGTAGAAGCACACTCTAGACGCGACAAGCAATCGGAAAAGAGCGCCGCGGTCTCTTGAGAGGATGCTTATATAGTCCCTATTTTCTAGAAGATTCGCGAACATTTTTATTATTCCATCGGTAGGTTAAGGGCGAAAGAACATATAGGGTGCGTTCCGTTTCACGCATAATGCGCATAGACTGCATTCAATGTGCTGCGCGCATTGATATCGTTCCGTTTCGTTAATGCGCATGATGCGCGCTTGGAAACGAAACGATTATTATGCGTTTAATGCGATTAAAAAATGGTTACTACCATGGATAAAATAGTTGTAACTTCATTTTTATTAATAAAAAATATTGAAGAAATTAATTCAAGCAGTGATACTACTGATAGTGATAGCGAAGATGAAGTGGAAGATAGTTATGAATTAGAGTTAATATATTTAATATTGATGATTGCTGAAACACGCGGGGAAACCGTTTTTAATGAAAAAATGGATTATATTGAGCGAGTTGTTCCTAATTATTCTAGAACGGTATTCAAAGAACATTTTCGGTAAATAATATAAATTTATAAAAAAATTTATAAAAAAAATAATATAAAAAATTATAAATAGCTTATATATAATTTTCTATATTTCTATGTAATATTATATTGTTTTATATATGATTATATATAAAAGAATTTTGGGAAGTACCTTTTTATTATTTTCACCGTTCTTTTTTTAGAATCTTTCCTGAAACTTTTGAAATGGTACTGACAATAATTGGTCCAGCATTACGAGCAATTAATAATACACTCTCTGGCAGAAAGCCAATACCAGAAAGAAAACAATTATTTATTGCTATTTGGTTTATGGCTACTCCTGATTCTTACAGGTATGTACAATGGAGGTCACTGATTCGTTCCCTGAGGGTAAGGGGGGTACCTAGAAAGTTTAATTTAAAACCAATTTCACCAATTTTTTGTCTTTTTTCAGATACGTTCTTTAAAAAGAGACAAAGATATAATTTAACCGGAGGTTAAAGTTAACCGAGGTTGGTGAAATTAGCTCTTAGGCCCGTTTCTACCAACGTCGATTAAATTAAACCTCTGGTTAAAATATATCTTTGTCTCTTTTTAAGAACTAGTGCACTCCCCTTACCTCAAAGAACGAATTAATGACTAGCAATGTACAGTATTTTTTTGGAACGCAACCTTAATCTATATGATACATCATTATTTTAGATCTGTAGCGACAAAATTTGGAGTAGGCAAAGCAACTGCTTTTCGAGCATTGAGGCGTGTAACATATGCTCTCCATTGTGTTGCACCTCAATTTATTAAATGGCCGAGAGATGAGATTGCCGTTAGTGTAATGGAACGATTTAAACGATCATGCGGCTTCCCAAATGTTATCGGAGCGATTGATGGGACTCATTAAAATCCGAGCTCCTCCTAAAGATGCTCAATCGTATATTAATCGAAAAGGTTTCCATTCCATTAACGTGCAAGTAATATGTGATTCTCTTGGTCGTTTTACACATGTATATGCTGGACAAGTTGGATCAGTCCATGACTCTCGAGTTTTTCGAAACTCGCCAGTAGCCCGGTTTGTTCGATTGCCCGAAGAATATTTCCCCAATGATTCACATATCATCGGAGATGCTGCATACCCATTCAACCTCACATAATGGTGCCTTTTCGAAATAATGGATATTTGACAGATCGGCAAAAAAACTTTAATTATTGTTTGTCGTCCACGAGAATGGCAATTGAGCGTGCTATAGGGTCCCTAAAAATGCGTTTTAGGATACTTTTAGACTGTTTGCCATTAACAGACATAAAAAAAGTTCCAGAATTTATCCTAGCATGCTGTGTGTTACACAATATTTGCATTTTACAAAATGATGAAATGCCCATGGGTATACAATTAAATCTTGATGAAGACAACCTTGTTAATACACACCACGATGCAGAATTAGGAAAACAGAAACGATTAACAATTATGAATGCGCTACGAATGAGATTATAATTATTAATAAAAAATATATAAGTATAAAAATACTTTTTATTCTTTTTTAGAATTGTACATCTGAAATCGGGATGCACCCGTTAAAATAATAACATATTTCGTACAATTTAACACATAAAAACTGTAGTATGCTCTCTCTCCCTCTCTGTGCACGCGCGCGCGTGCATGGGAGAGATCTTATCTTTGGTTCTTTCGGTGGACATACGAGGTAATGGGTCTGTTTTTTGTTCCTGAACTGCTGCACTAGTTTAGAGGTTGTCCTTTTCTTATCAGTGTCGAGCAAAAGACAACCTCTGAACTAGTGCAGCAGTTCAGGAACAAAAAACAGACCCAATAATTAAACTAATAAACTATAAACTATTAAACTAATAAGCTTATAACTAAAAAATCACCGTGGTAATATAACGAATTTAATAACTTTTTATTTCAGTCTTCTCAAAAGCGTACAATTCTCGTCCACTAAGTACATAGCGTTATTCCTTACCAAAAATAAGTTGAAAAGTCCTAAAGAATTTTTACACTTAATGAACTAGTAATTATTGAGTAAAGTACGATCAAACAGCGCCGGGTTTATAAAATTATTAAAAATTATTCAAATTATTATTTTATTTAAAATTATTCAGGACTTTTCAACTTATTTTTGATAAGAAATAACGCTATCTATTTAGTGGGCGAGAATTAATAAGTAATACCCTGTGCATTTAAATATGACTCTATCAGGCACATTTTTCGCGCATCTTAATCCAGCCTCGCCCAGGTTGGTTTGCGTATTTCTTATATATAATGGAAAAAAATTTAATCATTCTGCTGATTAAATTGCACCCTTAATATCACAGTGTATTGCACTAACGTTAATCGTTTCGATTAACTTACTTTTTATTTGCAAAATTCTGCAGGACGGCAAGTAGTGATTTCTGTACCTCCATGTTATCTTGATGCATTTTTTCACGCTCTCTCTTCTTTTCTTCATATTGTGCTTCTCTAATTTCTTCTTTTTTCTTTCTTTCTTCATCTCGCTCTTTTTTTGTAGTCTCCCTTTCTTGCTTTATATTATCAATATAATTTTCTAGAATATTCTCAACTCGTCTTTTTTTAGGCGCACCTGCAATATTAATACAAATGTTTACAAGATTATGTATAATGCGGGGTCTACAATGGTAGTAAGAGTACGAGTACAAGAGTAAAGCAGTAAGCAGTACGAAGTGGGATTCGCTCATTTCGTCGGGAGTAACGAAATGAACAAATCCCATTTCGTACTTCTTACTGCTTATTCTTGTACTCTGTACTCTTGCTGTTATTGTAGACCATGCATAACACTGAAAATGCCTTCAGTCGTGGGCCGCTTTGGCGACAGAATCAAAATGATCTAGATTAAAATAATCCATGTACTGTGATTGGTCAAATCTGAAATTTCATTATAACAATCAATGAAATTTTAGATTTCAATCACGGATTGACACGCACGGATTATTTTAATCTGATTGTGAACCATTTTGGTTCTGTCGCCAAAGCAACTATGGTTTATTAATTATGTTATTACTTCGTAAATCCTCTGAGAAACTCGCTGGAGATAAAGATCCTGATGTAGATAGTATCGGTTGTGATGGACCTTCGCTGGACGCTTCAGCTGGAGGTTGTATATATGCCTTTTCACCAAGTAATGAATCCATTACCTACAAATACAAAATCAGTTTTGTAAGTCTATACATTCAATATTATATTATTATACTTGCAAACACATATGCATATACTTACTGAATAAAAAGCCCAACTACTGTGGGAGTTACCACTTTTTTTATTCTGCTCATATATATTTTTATATGTCCGTTTGAGGCCAGCAAATTTTGTTGAGCATTGAAGACCAGTAACTATATACTTTTTGTCAGTTTCTTTTATTTGGGCAGCAATCTCTCCCCAAATGATATTGTGTCTTTTCATGCCGGTATTAAATTCTTGCTCTCTTTCTCTATATAATTCAACAAGCAAAAGTACTGCAGCGTCAGGCCACACAAAAGATTTTGAATTGGATTCATCTAAAATTTTATTCAAGTCATAAAGTAAATTTTATTACAAAATCTATACTGTTTAACAAAATTATAGGAAAATAAATGAGCTCTTGAGCCAATCGCTGTTATTGTAGCGTGTTTAATTAATCTTTATTTAAAAGAACACCGTAAAACGTTTCAGCCCTGATTGGGCCCTCTTCAGTTACATTAATTAATATTGTCATGCTTTGTAAATTTTAAATAATTATGTCCTGTACGCCATATGTATATAATTTATCGATTCTTTGTTTGATCATTGTTATTTCAATGCCTTGCTGTTCATCTGACGCTCAGAGACGTTCTGTTTCTGTCGTGTCTCCTTTGGATGCCATCCAACAGAAACAGAAGGTCTCTGAGCGTCAGATGAACAGCAAGGCATTGAAATAACAATGATCAAACAAAGGATCAATAAATTATATACATATGGCGTACAGGACATAATTATTTAAAATTTACAAAGCATGACAATATTAATTAATGTAACTGAAGAGGGCCCAATCAGGGCTGAAACGTTTTACGGTGTTCTTTTAAATAAAGATTAATTAAACACGCTACAATAACAGCGATTGGCTCAAGAGCTCATTTATTTTCCTATATTTCTGATAATTGGGAGCCTAATATTACTTATTACTGTTTAACAAAATGTTAAATTATAAAAATTACCAGGTTCTTCAGTGGTGTTAATTTCAGGCACACACAATACATCTTTATTTCCATTATTAAGTCCCTCAGTATTACATTTATTTTCTTTCCATTTAATAAAGATATCTTGCAAAAACTGTGGATCTGTAAAATTATATACTTTCATTACTTTTAGGTTATAGAATTATATTTTATAAGTATATACTGATTGTACATAATTTAATACCTTGATTTGCCTTTGCAGCAGTTTCTTGATCCAGTATAAGAGTAAAAACTTCATTATTTTCATCAATGACTGGGACTTCGACCAATGCCATTGTGCACACTTGAATAAAAAAGGCGCCTTTTCTGTTGATGCATCAACTCCGCATCAAACGCTTCACGCCCGAGCTGCGGTAGCTGATGCACGTTGATGCGCGAGAAGTGGTGGGGATATAGGGAATTCTGTGCGCTATCAATGCGCGCATTGAGTGAAACGGAACGGTTCTTTATGCAGTCTATGCGCATTATGCGTGAAACGGAACGCACCCATAGAGTTGTTGTTTATTGTGAGATTGACATCGCATTTTGTTATTAACGGAACTATTGTGTATCACCTATCGCGCGGCCGCGGTCCTTACTGTTTATTATGGTTTAACGTAAGCGCTTATTTTTCGCAGGCGCGGGGTATCCGTTTACCCTTGCGGCCGAGCGCTAATTTAACTATAAAATAAAAATACGCATGTTAGAAAATAATATAAATTAAATTATCCGCATGATGCATGTTGCATGCTAATACTGTATGAATATTATTTATTTTTCATGAGTGTTCTTATATGCTTTCTATTTTGCAGGTTTTTAAACGTTCGAATCTCGAACATATAAATTAACAAAATTAAAAGAAATAAATATTGTAGGCCAACTAAACGAGCAAAATTACATAAGATATAAAGATTTATTAATAATTAAATTCTCATTCCATTAGAGAAACAATATACAACGTAAACGTTTCGACTGCACTACAGTCTTCTTCAATACATAAAAATCAAATATTAAAATACAAAGTTAACGATTTTTTGCTGATAAACAATGGATAAGTAAGATGAGTGGTCTGAGATTCCAAGTTTTGCGACATTTAATCATAGTTTGTTTTCTACCACTATAAATCAAAAAATAGGATGCGTGGTTTGCTGCATAATATTAGAACTGAAATTCTTAACATAGAGATAATTAATTTATATAGAACATTAAACTCACTCAATAAAAAACGGTCAAGGCAACTCCAAATTCTCAAAAATTATTTACCCTCTTATATCTGGTAGGAGATTTTTAATTATCATTACAATTCTTTTTTTTTTGTTCACCAAAAGTTATATCACATACATAATAAAAATTCCTATGGCTACGTAAGTCACATGAAACAGTTAATAATATTAATAATATTAATAATATTAATAACATTAATAATATTGATCCTATTAAATTAAAAACAACAGGATTATCGACTAATATTGATAATACTAAATAAATATATATAAATATATATGTATATATATATTTGTACACAAAATGCGTACAATATACGCATCCGTTCGGAAACATTCTACACCCGAGGACACACTGTATCCTCTCCATTTCTCCACTGAAATCACGAAACCACACCGAATGTGTAGTTTCCGAACGCAGCCTAAATTGTCATATGAGCAATTATTTTATTTAATAATTATAATATTAAGAATATTATAAATTAATTAATAATATTTTGCTAACAGTTTCCGTGATGCTACACATAATCCTTTACAACAAACTAACCAGAAATGGTTTATTAATTTAACTGATAAAAATATTCCTCCTAATGTAACTAATCTACTGCAATTGGGAGGTGATTTCAGTCTTCCAGTTAACATAAATAAAAAGATCAATTAAAATTAACATTAATCAAAATTAATATTGGTTGCTAGTGGTGAAAATAAGCTTGGAAAACTTGACTTCGACGTAACTAGCAAATTTTTGAAAAGGACCACAACCAAATGGTCAAAACGTCGTGAAATAATTAAATAAAATTTGCTAGTTACGTCGAAGTCAAGTTTTCCAAGCTTATAAATAAAAAAGTAGCCATACATATATTCATTAAAGATATAAAGAGTAATTCTAATGGGATCAGAGATCTTACTTTGATTCGTAATGCTGCCATTCCACAATTTTTTTTTTTAGAAAATAATGACAAAAAAAACGTACACACAAGAAAAATTATTTCTCATGCACAAAGACACAATTAAATTCTGTAATCTAAACCCCAATATTTTATTTACTAGAGCAGATAAAGGCAGTATTACAGTCGCATTAGATAAAGAATTCTACATAAAAAAAGTTGAGTCTTTTAAAGATGATTCTACTTATACCATAGTTAAAAATAACCCGTCATCTAAAATAGAAAAAGAACTTAATAATTTTTTTAAAAAATGGTTGAAAAAAGATATCAATAAGAAGAAATATTATTATTTATTTTCTAGCGATTCCTTCTCCCCAAGGTCTATGGGCTTCCCAAAGTCCATAAGGAAAATATTCCTTTCAAATTAATAGTCTCCTCAATAAATACTTCTTTATATAACATTGCTTCTTTTTCTCATAAAATTTTAAAAGATAGCCTTCTTAGAGCTGACAGTTTTGTGAATAACAGTTTTGATTTATGCAACACTCTATCAGGAACAACGCTAAAATATTCCGACACAATAATTTCATTCGATGCCGTTTCATTGTTTACTAATGTCTCCGTAGATCTTGCATTGAACGGTATCAATAGTAGATGGCATTTTATAGAGTCACACACAAAGATTCCCAAAAATGACTTCATAAGTATGATAAAATTTATATTAACTTCTACATTTTTTACTTTTAATAACATAACTTACAAACAAATTTATGCGACTCCTATGGGCTCCCCACTTTCTCCAATCATTGCCGATATAGTTATGCAGGACTTGGAAACATTGGTAATTGGTAATTTAAATTGCGAACTGACTTTCTATTTCCGTTATGTAGATGATATTATTCTATGCATTTCCGTTGACAATATTACATACGTTTTGAATGAATTCAACAATTATAACAATAGACTAAAATTTACATTAGAAAAAGAGGATATGCGATGTATAAGTTTTTTAGACATAATGATCAAAGTAATAGATAATAACATTTATTTAGATTGGTATCACAAAAAGACATTCTCAAGTAGATTACTCTCATTTTTTCAAATTATCCGACTTGTCATAAATTAGGAACAATTTATAGCTTGGTAGATAGAGCTATACATGGTGGAAGTAACAAGGTGTGCTATCTTCTCGGACGAATTTTCGTCACATTCTGCGCAGCACCAAGTTTCCGCCATCTTGCAAAATCACCATTGCCAACCGATAGCAAGGCGACGATAAAAGTAAACGAAATAGTGTCACGTTATACACAGGTTATACACAATTTTATAATGCCGTCGTGTTCTTTCAAAAACTGTAAAAATACGTCGCGAAATAAATAAAATGTAAGATATTTTTCATTTCCAAAAAATCAAGAAATGATTGCAAAATGGAAAATACTTTGCAAAGAAAACGTCAACCCAAACAACTGTATGTATATAATACTGACAGGTGATAAATGGAATTTAACAAATTAAAAATTATAAAATATAATAAAATTGATAAAATACATTATTTAAAATTTGTTTATCTAGCTCGGGTTTGTTCCCAACGTTTCCATTCTTCACAATACAAAAATCGATCGTGGCTACTTGGGCTACTACCTAACTATAGCCCTGTGAAATCTCGGAAATTGAAACTTGATGCAATTCCAATGGAATTTGTAGAGGACAATGCAACAACTGTGGTGGAGAAGGATTTGAGTATGTATATAGACATTACTTCTATTGATGTGAATAGATTTATGTTTTAAGTGATTATATATTAATAATGTTGCAACGTTTTTTCCTGCTCCAAAACGCCAAGTTCGGACAGGGGAGCGTTCAATTTAAAGATTCTCCAAGTTTAACTAATAAAACGGTAAAAATCGGTATCAGAAGAGTTAATTATTCGCCCTTAGGGGCGTTCATTAACTCACGGTAAAGTTGGGCGCTAGGCGCGTGTGAACGCGCCACGATAATACTGTGAACGGTACTTAAAGTCACTTCTCCAAATTTCATACAGAGTCGCGGGTCTATAGGAGTGATGGGTCTATGGTTGAGAGAGAGGTATAGAGAGACATACACGTGGTGTTAGAATTTGACAGATATATATATTTGACACTTAGGATTTACAATTTGACATCGGATACATACAATTGGATAATACAATTATGTAACAAACAGTAATATATAAACTAGCGGTAGTAAAACAAAAAATATAATATAAAGATCTGCGAATATCGGTATTTCAGACTTGATCTATAAAATTATTCGTAATTATACAAGGTGACACAGCTTAGAGAATTTCGCGACAATAATATACAAACGGGATAAACAAAGACAAAATCGGTAAACGTTATGATGGTCTAACTTATTTTCGCGGGCACGCGGTATAGACAGAGGTCACAATACGATACTCCGAGACACGGCACGGTATGCAAAAAACAAGATAACAACTAGATGACGGTAATTTCGTGACTCTCTCGCACGACTCTCTCGCCGAGTCGAAAACCATGAAATAGTTAACAAACTCGCGGAGACGGCTACACGCAAATTCCGAAAATCTAATAATCGAGCCTATAAAAAAAGGTGACTCTGAATATTTCGGTAACCCGAATTTATAATAATTATTTTCGAGACGATAGACTGTCGGCGGCACTTTTTGGAGAGGGCTCGGCTCGCGAAACGCAAAGTCGGCTGGCCCCGCGATACGATACTCCAAAAACGAAAAGAGAGAGTCCGCTCTCTCACACACAAAACGATACGAAAAATGAGAGAGTGCGGTACTCACGGTAATTACGATACACGATCAATATCTACGGTACCAACCAACACGGATCTACGACTACTCGAGAGGCGGCTTACAGTTTCTGGCGGTGAAGTCGAGTAGCACCTCGGGTCGCACTTTTGGAGTCCTGGAGTCACCCTCTCTGGTCTAAGGCACACCGAACAGTAGAGAGCCGGGCCTCGCGCGTCTCGGTACCTTCTTTTTCGCACCGATCTTTTGCGCATTCCCTCGATGATAGGGTCGATGGCGGGGCCCTAAGGTCTCCCTCCGCCTCCCCCTTTAGCTGAGGTAATTCTCACGCCGGTAACGTATCGCTGGTTGAGAGGATTTTCCTCCGGGTTTCTTCCCGCGGCATCTCTCCTTCGGGAACAAGCGGGAGGCTGGCCGGGCCCTCCGCAGTCCCCCTTCAGGATCGGCCCTGTGGTTGCTTTGGCTCCCGGAGTCCTCTCGGTATCTATAATGTTTTCAACGCCTAAATTCTGCGCGAGATATATCAAAGTAAATTACGGATACTTGATGCTTAACTGCGCAAGGTCCCGCGCTCTCTCCCCGAAGTGAGGGGCGCTCCAGATCTCCGCGGCCTACCCGATCGGGCTTTTCGCCCTTGTGACGGCGCTCCAAAAGCGTCACGTCACAATGTATAAATAATACTCCTATCTTCCATACAATATATTAAATATACTTTCAGGAACAGAAGTAAAAGAATGTACATACGTTGCTACAGACTGTGTTGCATCGAGCTCTGAGAGTTTTGTGATATCAACGCTTGCAAATGAAGTCACATTAAGCTTCACAAATGAAGAAGCATCATGCTCTGTGACTCAAGTCGCATCGAGCTCTGAAACTCCAGATACACCAAGCTCTGCGAATCCTGTTGCATCATGCTCTACAAGTACAAGCAGTAATAACTTTAGTACGTCCTTCTATTATGATTTTTTTGTTGGTTAGATTTCTATAACTTAACTAAATTTTTAGCAAAGTTATATTTATTTATTTTTATATTTCCTTATCGTGAAGGTTCAATACAAGTTTTTTTCAATCAAGATGATATACAAAAACTGATACGGGAAAATGCAGACTTGGTTCGAGAAAATGAAATTCTTCAAAATAAAGTTCTTCAATTGGATCAAATTAATAAACTACATGAGAAAGAGATGAAGAATATTAATAAAGGACACAAGCAAGAGATGAAAAACAAATTGCAAGAGATGCTAAGTCCTTTTTTCACACCTGGACAAATTAAACGCTTAATGAATCCCATACAGAAGTTAACCCATTGGTCTTCAAAGGATATTGCAGCTGCAATATCATTGAGAAGCGTAAGCCCGAAAGCTTACAGATATTTGCGAAAAAACAAAAAGATTCCTCTTCCAGCACTATCAACCCTCCGAAAATGGGTAGCATCATTCAACCTTGCTGATTATGAAATATAAAGGTGAAAACATGACAGAGTTCGAGAAGGCAACAGTGATCTGTTTTGACGAAATTCATTTGTCAAATCAAATGGCAATTGAAAGAAGGCAGGAGAGAGTTATTGGCCCTCATAAAAAATGCCAAGTCGTTATGGCTCGTGGGTTATTCAAAAAATGGAAACAGCCTGTCTTCTACGATTTTGACCAAGATCTCACCAAAGAATTATTATTTAAAATAATTGTCCAATTGTATAACAGTGGCTATACTGTGTTCGGAATGACCTGTGATCTGGGACCATCAAATCAAAATTCAATAAAACAATTGAAAATTAATGTAATGGAAAATGAGGATAAAACATACTTTGAGCATCCGTGCGATGAAAATGTAAAGATCCACGTTTTTGTCGATGCTCCTCATTTAATGAAATTACTTCGAAATCATTTTTTAGATTCCGGATTACATGTAGATGGGCATTTTGTGACTTCGGCGCCCTTGGAAAGGTTACTTCAAATTAACAGTGGAGATTTGAAAATTGCATTCAAGCTGTCGCGTATTCATTTAGACGTCCGAGGAACGCAACGACAAAATGTGAAACTCGCAACCCAAATTTTCTCTGCGACAAATGCATCTGCAATTGAATAGTGCGGTTCACGAGGATTCATGGATAATTGTCCAGAATGGGTTGCAACTGCTACATTATTAAAAATGTATAACGATTGGTTCGATATTTTTAATAGCGTTTCTAAATACGGAAATAATCCTGGACAAAATGGATATGGTGTTGATCTTGTGCAGCAAAATAATATTCTTGCCAAAGTCACGTCAACAACTAAACATATGAAAGTTGGTAATCGACAGGCTTTGCTTCCTTTTCAAAAAGGAATTCTCATATGTAATTCGTCATTACGAAACCTGTACTATGATTTAAAGAAGAAATTCAATTCAGAAATGTCATATGTAATTACAAGTCGATTGAACCAAGACGTAGTGGAAAATCTTTTCTCGTATATTTACGAGTTTATATTTACTATATTTTTTAAATATATTCACCAGAATTATATTTATACACAAAAGATCTTTCATTAAAACCCTTTCTTGCCCGAGTCTTCGTTTTAATATCCATTTAAATTATACAAGATGGCGGAATCTTGTCACGCTCTCTTATTGGTCAGTAGAAATGCCTGATGCACAAGAGTACACCTTGTTACTTCCACCATGCCTCACAGCTTCCTGCCAACTCTTTTTCCTCTCTCTCTTCAATCCACACCTCTCCCATACATGCTCCCATGACTCTTCCTCTTCTCCACATATCCTGCATTTCCTCTTCTCTACCTCCTCCCAATACCTGCTTTCTAATATCTCGCTTCCTAATCTAAATCTTGCTACTCTCCACCATCTACTTTCTCCCCAATCCTTTCTTAAATATTTTGGTACTCCTTCTTCTCTAGTACCTCCTTGTACCATTTGTTAAATTCTGACCTTTCTATTCTCTTCTCCTTCTCCCTCCTTTGTTCTTCCAAATCTCTCCTTATTAGCTCCCCAAACCATCCTTCTTCCTCTCCTCTTCTCTCCTCCACCTCTTCTATCCTCCTACCTCTTTTCCTAAAATACTCTTCCCTTTCCCTTTCCCAATCCGATCCCACCCTTCCTTCCTTCGCTCTTTCTCTCATTTCCTCCCAACATTTCCTCGCCAATTCGCTTCCTCTTCCTTCCTCCATTCTCTTCTCAAAATTCCACGCCCTCTTCCCGGCTCTTATCCTCAACTTCTCTTCTCAGCTCCTCCCTCACCATATATCCTGGTGTCCTCCTTTCTACCCCTAATGTCCATCTCAAGTACCTTTCCTCCATCCTTTCCATTCCCTCTCTTTCCTTCCACCCCATATTTCCACCCCGTAGCTCATCACTGTCCACACCAATTTGTCAAACAACCATAATCTTCTCCCCCCATCTTTTCCCTATTCCCCATACTTGCCCCATAATAGCTGCCGCTCTCCTCATCCTTTCTTTCACCTGCCCCTCTTGTCCTCCATTCCTCTGTAGTCTGTATCCCAGATATGTAAATTCCTTCACTTCCTCCATTTTCTCTCCTTTCCATCTCCACTCCCTTTTCTTCCATCTTCCGCTCTTTCTCCTAAATTTCATTATCTTCGTTTTCTTCGCGTTTAATTCCAATCTCTTTTTATCCAAATACTCTTCTAATCTTTCTATCACACTCCTCAATTCTTCTTCCTCTCCTACCAACACCATATCATCCGCGTACGCTAATGTATATATCCTTTTCTCTCCTATTCTCACTCCTCCCCTTCTCACCTTCCCCATTTTTTCCTCTAAATCCGCTATTAGAATGTTTCTCTCTCCAACTTCCTCCCCTATCTTTATCCTGCAAGTTGTCTCCCTCATCACCTCCTCTACCCTTCTTCTTAATCCTTTCCTTATTCCTCTCTCTTCCATTGCCTGCATTAACTTCTCCCTATCCACTAAATCGAATGCTGCCCTCAGGTCTACAAACATTGCTGTCAATCTTCCATCTTTTCTTTCCAATTGCCTTAATTAAGTAATTCATAACGTAAATGTTGTCTATCGTACCCATTCCTCTCCTAAACCCCATCTGATTTTCCGGCACTATCCCTTTTTCCTCCACCTCCTTCCTCAATCTTTCCGTTAGTATCATCGTATATACCTTATACAATGATGGCATCAAGGTTACTCCCCTGTAATCCTCCACCTCTTTTCCATCCCCTTTCTTAATTATCGGTACTATCACTCCCTCCTTCCATCTGTTTGGCCAGCTTTCTTTTCTCCAAATCCTGTTGCAAAATTCCAGTATCCATTCCTTCACGTTCCCTTCTCCATACTTCCATACCTCATTCGGGATCTCATCTATTCCTGTCGCTTTTCCTACTTTCAACTTCTTTATTGCTTGTACCATTTCCTCTCTACTTATTTCCTCTTTCTCCTCCTCCTCCTCCTCTATCTTGTTTCCCTTCTCCTTTCTCTCCTTTCTTACTCTTCTCTCCTCTGTTCCTCCTAGCAGCTTCATAAAATATTCTTTCCACTCTCTCATCTTAATTTCTTCATTTATTCCTTTCCATCTTCTTCTCTCCCTGTTTACTATTTCCCATACCTAAGATTTTCTTTTTACCTCCGCTGCCTATCTTTCCCATTTCTCGTTCTCTTCTTTTTTCTTCCTCTCACACAATCTCTTATAATCTCCTCTTCTCTTCCTATATTCCTCCCCCTCTCCTCCTTTCCTCCTCCATTTCCTCAGCTCCCTCCTTACCTTCCTTTTCTCCTCTCTACACTCCTCATCCCACTATCCTCTCTTTTCCTTCTTCCCTTTCCTCCAATCCTCCTCTGTTACTCTCAATGCTTTCTTCATCCTCTCCTCTATTATTTCCCATTCTCCATCTATCTCTTCCTCTCTTCCTCCTATTTCCCCCAATTTTCCCTCAAATATCCTCCGACCTTCCTCGGTTTACGAGATATTTTATATAATCTAACATATTTTGATATAAAAATAAAAAATATTTCGTAAATAAAATATTTGGTGTTTGATAATACTTTTATGTAAAAAATAATTATAGACAAATAAAAAAAATACACAATAAAAAAAATATACAATTTGCTACATGCAGCTATATATTTTTTCGTAAAAACAACATGTTTGTTGTTTATACCAATTGTTTCGTCTAATTATTCTATACATAATGTAGGATGTTATACTAATTTAGGTTTAGGCAATGACGAGAATGGTTTAAATCAGAAAATTGTTCGATCTTTAATAAAATATAAGAATATACACGTAAAACCAAAAGAAATCGAAATATAGTGATATAAAACTCTGCGTTTGCAGAACTCTTGCGCTCGCTTGTTGTTTTGTTTCTTTCTCTTCAGTATCTCACAAGCGACTTTCCTTCACGCACCTCGCGCTCGCGTCCCTCCCCAAACGATAATTCTTTTGCTTGCTCATCGCGCTAATCATTGGCCAATCGATGCCGCATGCGCAATGATTGATCGCCTAATTTGACATCCTACACTCGGCCATTCTGAAATAAAGGTCGCCTCGACCGTTCGTCGTTTTTTTTTTTTTTTAATTTTCCTCTATTTCCTCGTAATCGTCGTCCCGCATCCAAGGCTTCATGTAATCGGCTGCTGACGATGTCTGGATTGGACCCTCGTTTTCGCCTACCTTGCGTACGAGATATCGGTGGTTACGCAAGACTCTTATTATCTTATACGGCCCAAGATATTTATGTGCTAGTTTGAGATGAGGATCTCTCTGCGTGCGCTTAATCGCGACAAGGTCTCCTTCATGATAACTCAGGGGTTCCCTCCTTTTCCTATCGTAGGTTCTTTTATTTTCTTTTTGGATCTTCTCGATATTTCTTTTAGCCTCCGCTCGCAGCTCTTTTTGATCATCGTCGAAGGATGCGACGATTTCTTCTTCAAGTAGCGCTCTGATGTCAAGGTTCTCCTTAATATATGGATTAACGCCCAGCAGCACTCGAAAAGGCGTCATCCCGATGCTCCTCTGTATCGTGGCGTTCATACACATTTGTACCGCGTTCAATTGTTTGTACCACTCGCTCGGCTTAAGGTGGGTTTAGGATGAGCTTAACGTAACGGAACGTAACGGAACGCGACGGAATTCGGCTATTACAATCGCCTTTACGTAACGAATTATTAGAACTTAACGCGACATCAAGCTTTGCCAAGCTTTGTCGCGTTTCGCCTAGTCGGTCTTTAAAAAAATTTATTATAATTATTAAAATAATTATTATTAATTATAATTGTTTGCGCGTACGCTCGATTGCTGACGTTGAACGCTCACGCACGAAGCTACGGATCCTGACAATCGGGTTGTAAATCCGATCGTCGATATCCGTCTCGTGTATAGATTGCACAGGAAGATTCAAAGTGGACTGTATCTTAAGGAGGGTGGACGCGCTCCGATTGGTGCGCAGGATGGGTAACGATTTAAGCCACGTGCCGAATCGAGAACCAGAATACGGAATT